TGTGTGTGTGTGTGTGTGTGTGTGTGTGTGTGTGTGTGTGTGTGTGTGTGTGTGTGTGTGTGTGTGTGTGTGTAAGATGGTAAAACAAACCTAACTCACACAAATGATGAGCACAGCGCAGGTGGAAGCAGTCACAGCTGTGGACGTGATGATACAGAGTTTTCTCGATTAGATCCTGAGGCTCATAGCCCGTCAGCTCTGCAACCCTGGAACACACACAGACACACACACACACACAAACACACACACAGTTACATCTCATCATTTGCAGAGACTTACTCTAAATACAACAACTTTTGTTTCCTTTTTTTACCCCAAACTTCAAACTTTACTATGAAACGTAAGAATGTTCACTATGTAAACAGATTGATGTCCCCACAGCATTACTAACACAAGTACTGCTGACACACACACACACACACACACATTATCAAGTATAAATCAGGCTTCCATACGGTGGCCCTACAAGGTCAGATGCACTGCAACCAAAGGAAACAGCAGCAAATAGAAAAAACAAACATACAGGAAGTAAAAAAAGTGACAATGGAAGTTGAATAAAGGACAAGTGAACAACTGCAGATGGCACTGAGACGCTGCAAGAAGAGGAACGTTTGTGTTGTGATGAAGAAACACATCACGTGACTCCTGTAAATAAATGTTTACTATCCGTCACTTCTGCACAGACTGGCTCCAGTAACTCGTTTCTCTTGTGTTTTATGTGCTTTTGCAGCATTTTTATTATATGCTGATGTTTTCTTTGATCGTACTTCCTGTATTTCTACAGGCCCTCACACAAAACGTGTATCAAGCAAATACCAAAAACCAATGCTGTGATTGAGTATTTCCCCTTCCTGGTTTCTGTTTCGCATATCTGAGATCCTACAGTTTCACATGAAGATTTCATTTGTTAAAGGAAAACGGTTATCCAACCCTACCTGGTCCTGTGTGGAAAAAGTAATTGCCCTCCTCGTTAAATCATTCATTAACTGTGATCAACCCCATTTATTGGAAAGTTTAGATCATTTTGCGGAGCTGGATTACTCCCACACATGTGTGACAACACAGAAAGCTGAGGTCTAAGGAAACAAAGCCAGTGACATCTTTGAGTCTGAAAGGCGCCACAAAGCCAGCTTTGTAGCTCCAATGAAAAGACGCTGAGAGTCGTATCCACATGTGGAGAAAACTGGGAACAACTGTGGAACTTCCCAGAAGTGTCTGGCCAACCAAACATCCGTGACTCCAGGAGGTCACAACGAACCCAGAGCAACATCTAAAGAAGAGCAGGCCTCACTTCCCTCAGTTATTGGCATCCGTGGGAGAGCTGTACGGCAAACTCTGTGCTGACCAACAACACAAACACTCCACAAAGACATTCTGATGGTCCCCAAGACTTTGGGGAAAACAATACAAAAGGTCTGAGTCCCCATACATGTGGTACAGCACAGCATGTCAGGAAAAGAACATCATACCCACAGTTACACATGGTGCTCTTTGTCCTAATTGATGGAACCATAAATTGTGCTCTATGTAAGAACATCCTGCTGTCAGTCAAGCTCAGGCACACAACGATCACTCACGGCCACGTCACTCAAAAGAAACCAAACATACGCTCTGGCCTCGCTTTAACATCTCAGGCGGGTCATTCGTGCTTGAAAACAATTCTGTAAAAGCTAAGAGATCAGGAAAGGGCCAAAAAGCACACGCCTCTGTCCTGTGAGCAGCAGCTGCAGACGGTGAGCGGACATACCGTGAGTCGAGGAAGATGAGCTTCATGTCCAGACTGGCTCTGAACATGAACATGTTGCTGTGCAGTTTGATCTCAGTGATGGCGCTGGGCGGCAGCGAATGGCCGACAGCCACCAGCCCGATGTTCTGATAGCAGCCGTCAAACGGAGACATGTCGAGGCTGTACTGTCGAATCTTCAGGTAGCCGCTGCAGTGGATCACCTGGGCCAAGCGGACACAGCAGGTAACAACATCAGTCACGCAGGAGGGTACGTTTGATGAGCTGAGGCCCAGACCTGATGTCAGGTTTGTGCTCTTTCACTTTGAACCCGTGTTTCAGTCTGTTAGACTTTCCTGTGAGACGAGAACACTGGACAGAGGTCAACATGACGTGGATGCTGTTGCTGCCACAGCAGCACGCTGCAGTCAGTACGACTTGCTGGCCAGCAGACGTGTTACGCTGCAACTCTCGACCCATATTTATACATAAAAAAGGAAATCCTGACAACCCCGGTGCACATGGAGACGACTGCACACAGTTTGAGCTGTAGCTCTGAGTAAGTCAGCCGCTTCAGCGCGGCGGTTACTGCTGGACCGTCCTGGGATACGTGGTGGTTTATCTTCCAGAGCTATACGTACATATATGCATGTCACTGTCCTTCGCTGAACACTTGTGTGCTCCTAAAAAAACTGCACGTCTGTTTGACCTCGAGTGTGAGTGCACATCATTTCCTCTCATCTCTGAAAGTTTGATTTTGTGTGGCTGACGAGGGCAGCGTGTGTTCAGACCACTCTGTTACCTTGTAGCCTCCACAGGTAAGACCAGCATTTCTTTTAGCAAGGACGCACTTCATTCTGAGAAAGAAGGAGCGCTCCATCTCATATTCTGCAGAGACATAAAAACTCACATGAGCTGTGCTGCATAGTGATGCCGTACACAGAAGCACACGTGTAGATGGCTGATTACCTTGGACAAAGTGGGAGTGGTAAGGCTGGTGCGCTGTGAGGACAGCTATCATTTCATCGTGGTCTGCTGGGTGGATGTACTCGTAGATGCTGTTTCCTGTCAACTCTACCTGTTGAAATGAACATTCAGCTCACAGCTATGACATATCAGGCCCGGAGGAAGCGACCACATCGGGTGTGTCAGACCAACCTGTGACAGGCCCAAGTGCACTGACGCTGTTTCTGATATGTACATGATTTTCCCATCAGGAGCAACCACAAAAATGAAGCCATCTAACGTCTGGAAGAAACGGTACAGGGTAGAAAAGGCGTTATTGCACAGGTACAAAGCTGCTTCTCTTTTTAGTTGCATCTGTGTTATCATCTGTTTCTGTGTATCTGCACATTTAGGGCCAATTACGACGGTGGAGTCAGACTGTTTCCCTTCTTTGATGAATCTTGGCTGTGGCTGCATTCAGCTCCGTGCCTTTGCTGTCTGTGCTGTGCAGATTTGACTTGTTAGAGACAAAGATGGCTTCATGCACGAGGAGAACATGGCCTCCTTGCACTCTGGAAAAAGAAATTCTGCATATGTTTTTGCTCCGGTCTGTGTTAGCAGGCTCGTTAGCTCGTTTGGTTTGCCTGAACCTAACGTGACATGTTCCCGGGATTAAACTGGAGACTAGCGTGGCTGGAAACCTACACGTGGTTATTAAAACCTCAGCATCATGAAGTCCCTCCAGCTCAAACTCATGCAGCGTAATGAGAATCGATGTGCCTGTTGACTCTGTGTTCATATGTTTTTAAAACTATTGATTCTGCTGTGTGGTCATGATGGAAGCTGCCTTTGGAAAACCCTTCCCTGTTTCCTTGTGTTACTGTTAGATTTTCCAGTATTTTCTGCATTAGATGCTGCTCAGCTGTTCACCTAAAAACGTATGGAACAAAGAGGAAACACTGCACGCGTGTCAGGAATAACTACTATTGTTGCTGTGCTGGTTCTCATGTGTAGGGCCAGCACTGTTCATGCAGCTTCTCTCTGTTCAAGTGTTTCCTCCGTTGTCATTATGACTGATCGAGGCTAGCTAACTTCTGCTTCGTTCAGCCTGCAGCCGGCACACAGCCCGGCTCCATTGTGCTGCGGCTGATGCGAGAGGCTGCAGGCTCTGTGCGTGACCACGAATGTGTTCAGCTCATTTCACACTGAAAGCACAAGAATGAAGGCAGCAGGAGGCATGTGGCAGCAGCTACCAAACCTCCAACAAAGCTGCATTGCCAGGCTGAACAATGATGATAATAAAGTACACATGCAGTTGCCTTTTAAGCACCAGTACTAATAGCAGTGAGTACCTGTAAGAGATGGGAGCCTAGTTCCTGGCTGAGCCCATCCAGAGAGCTGCTGCGGCTAACGTGCCCCCAGGACTCCCCCAGGCCTGCGGATCAACCAAAACAGGTAAGTGTAAAAAAACCGCGTAGTTTGTTCTTTGTTCCAGATAAATAACACAACTCATCACAGTCTTAGTACGAGTGGTTTGGGAACACTGACAACAACCAAATCTGCGCACTATAAACGGCTTTTCCATGATCGTCCTTGTAGCTCCGATCAACAGCGAGCAGGGTCTGACAATACAAGATATATCCGGACAAACAGGAGTCTTTACTTCCATAAGTGAACTGCTAATTCTGCGGAAAGCGAAGGCATCTCTGGAATTAAACGGGACTCCAAATGTTCCTTAAATCTGCCCAGTTTAAACTCAGTGTGAAGTCTGGAGTTTGTGGCCTGCAGCGCTAAAAATACAGCGAAGCCAAAAATAAGTGAAGAATCGGGGAAATACTTCACGAGCCCCTCAAACGCGGACAGAAGCGCGCAGACAGAAGCGCGCAGGGCCCGGCGAGCCTCGCAGGCCCCGACGCGCCCAGCTGCGGCAGCGGGGCGCGTTTACACGCAAAGCCCGCTCTGCAGAGCAAACAGACGGCGTGCAGCGACCGGAGCCGCTTCACGTTTGCGTGACTACACACAATCAAATAAACCCAGTGCACAGACCGAAATATCAACTTCCACGGAAACTCAATAAAAACACTGAGATGATTTACGGCGTTCAGCAAAAACAATCACGCGGAGGGACGCCGCTGCAGGCCCGGATGGTCGTCACGTCACGGTCACAGAAACAGAAATATGAATTCTGATTGTTCGGAAGAAACGGACACAAGAAACTGACCCGGGGTTATTGTAAAATATCTCCACGGACAGCTTCCTGATATCGTGGGGACGCCACTGTAACGCCACCATCACCGAGGCGCAGACTCCACAACAGGCCTGTCAGCGTGGGGTGCGCTCTGCGGATCAACCCACGAACCGTGACCCAGAGATCACGATATTTTGTATTATTATAATTGTCCCTCTCACGCGCTAGCTTTTTACATTTCACCTTAAAAAACAAACAAACAGATTTATCGGCAACAATACAAATATTTACCGTCTATATATAAATACACGAACAGCTGCTTGTTTTATACACGATCTATATTTAACATAAATATATTATATTAAATATATTATATTATATAAATATATTATAAATATATTATATATATATTTATAATATATTTATGTTAAATATATTTATAAATATATTATAAATATTTTATAAATGTATTAGTAAATAATATTATATAGTATATTTAATGTTAATATATATAATATATTTATACAAATATATTATATTATTTTACTGTTACAACTTTAAAATTATTTAACATAAAATAATATATATATGTTAAATATATTATATATATTTATGTTAAATATATATAATATTTAAATAAAAATCGAGTAAAGACATAATTACATTAAAAATATATTATTATAATACATTTAAAAATATGAGCGTCTCACATTGGTGACATTAAGAACGTAAAACAATAATTTCATGTTGAACAGTTAAACAGAGACAAACTTTATGAGCACAGTTTGGTTGCACTGCATGAAGCTTTAATGTGAAACCAGCCAAATAGTGCCGAGTACACAAACTGGAATAATGAAAATCTTCAGCAGGAATGTTTTAAAAATCTAATGAATAATATTTGGACACTGAGCCACGCGCTGACGAGGCGGTTAGAAAAAAGCAGGAACATTTTTCCCGTCATGCTTTTCTTTATTTGACGCGTTTTTGAAGCTCATACACGAGCTAATTAAGTGGAAACAGTAAAAACACGAGTTCATTTCCTCAATATGGAGACACGCAGACATCCTCCACGCGTGCAGGGGTGACTGTGCCACACGGTTATTCATGTGCGGTGCGTGTGGCCTTAGAAAAACTGAGACTCTGGAAGGAGGACAACTCTGGCTCTGCTATACTGTGGCGACCTTTTTATGCCACGGTCTGGTCCACGGTAGTTCTGCGTGATGCCTCTATGTTGATTCATTCATTCGTGTTCTTCCAGGTGACAGAGTCCCACGGACTCACTGATGGAGCTCATCTGCTGGTGTCTTCATAACCATCAGACCTGAAGCAGACCGAGGAGCAGGACCAGCGTGTTCGTCACTGTCATCAAACGGAAGTGACGGATGTGTTTTATGACGTTCATCCGTCCAGCGCTGAGCTTTTGCATCGATTCGATATTTTCCCTTGAATCTGGACCTTCATAGAGTCACGGTTACCGACAGTCCTGAACTACATCACTGTCTGTGTTTTTGCTTTGAATACATCCCACGACTGTCCCGCTTTCCACAGTGATTCTGCTCATATTTATATTCAATAAAGATCCATTTCCAGCGAATGCGTGATCGTGGAAGCAGTTTGAAGCAAAGTCCAGTTGGACGTTATTTTGCATTATGTGAAACCAGTGCCTCCCAGTTTGTAACAAACCGACGGTGGTCATGTTCCAATCAGCTCCATCCACACCAGCTACTGATGTCTGCCAGGCCCGACCGGGACCCCACGGAGACCCCACAATCTCGATTTCGTTTCCACTAAATTCTATTTTTTTTTGATCAGAATATTAAAAAGTCAGCAGCATTAGAATTCCTGAAAAATCAAAGCGCCAAGAATATATATGGAAACACGCGAGTAAAAGCCTGGAGGCCGTGTTTATTTCACCACAGCGATCTGTGCAGAGCTGTTAGATAAAGCAGGATATTTACTCACAGGAAAAAGCTCCACTGTGCTGTGGAATGTAACGTTTGCTTTCTGAACAGATTTAAAAAGTAAAGTTTAATTAAAAATATTAGAAATGTAAATATTAAATAAAAACACACACGCACGGAGAAAGTGTGCTTCTTGTTATTGTTAAACGTTCACGGACCAAACAGAATAAAGAGACGCTCGTGTCGTTAACAAATCCACGCAACTGTTTTAAACACAACAAGTTTTATTGATCGTGCTGTGATTATTATTAGTATGATTCTCTTCATCAGTATTTAAGGGCAGCGCACCCACCTTCGGGGAAGACCACTCTCATCTTCAGGTAGCTCGTTGTGAGCCGGATGATCGAGGCTTTGTCCAGCTGGGAGGTGATGGCGGAGGGCAGCGGCAGCAGTTTGGCCAGTTCATAAAACTCGCTGTTTTCCTTCTCCCGGCGCGTCCGGGCCGCGTTTTTCGACTTCTCCTTCATGTTTCTGCGTCAGCGCCGATCCACGCTCATAGCAAAGCAGACGTCTCCCTCCGCGCGGCCTAAACGTCACAGCTGCAGCTGGCGCGTGCACTCCCGCCCATACCTCCAGGTGCTTCGGGGCTGACGTGGACGGGTCCCGGTTACTCCTGGCCGCGTGAGGCTCAAAGCTGGAAGCTCAGACGCATCACACTGAGACCTCGGACCGCCGCACACAGAAGGTCCTGCAAGGGTCAAAATAATAATGAAAAACAATTAATTTTATTCACAGGCGCGATCAGTCTGCGTGTAACAGCTCCACGAGTGGCTAGAAAACTCGAACCAAGGGCCGCAGAGACACTGACAGCTGTTCCTGCTCACCTCACTTTCTAACCTGTTGGTTTTCACACGGTCTCCAAGAAGCTCCGCACGCGCGCATCCTCCATCCCGTGTGATTTTCTGGTGGCGCATCCACAGCCTGCTCTGTGCCGCGGGCACGAAGGCCTGCTGCTATTGGACGACTGCTCGCATACCTATTGGTTAGTCTATGTACCGAGGCCTCCAGGAGGAAGGAGATTGGCTACTGAACACATTCACCTCTGTCCTGAGGAGGCTCCAACGATTCCTCAGAAACAGCATTAAAACCGTCATGTCAACCGTGTGTGTGTGTGTATATATATATATGCACACACTTTATTAAAATATTTATTATCTACAAAAAAAAACAGAAGAAAATGTTGCTTAAAAAGTTTTCTAACAGCGACAGTGAGAGCTTCTTTATTGCATCTTGTCTTTTGGGTTTTCATCTTTTTATATTCATATTTTATTCATTTATCTGCTCATTCATTTGTATGTATGTATTTATTTATTTTGTATTTATTTATTTAGTATTTATTTATTTTGTTTGTTATCGCCACAGGCCACATCTACACCCCTCTGTGGCCTACTTGGCGATTTGAGGGATTTCAGGGACAGTGATGCTTCTTTGTTTTGTTTTCTCAGCACAGAAATACTTTGAATACGAGGATTTCTAAACGTGGAAATTGTAGAAGTCGTTTCACATCAGCAGAGACACGAGCCATTGTGTGTCGGTGATACGGTCACGTCCTCTGTGGGAATAATGAACAAACAGTTTCAAAGCAAATATCCAGGCCGTGTGTTTGTCTCACCGTGAGTGGACAAAAGAAATGTGCTATTGGAGCATCACGCACGTGGGTTTCGCTGTAACTTCTTGCACATTGTTGTAACTTCGGCTTTGTCCTGAAAACCTTATAGTTTCATTCTGCAACTGTCTGCTGTCCCACGAACGGGACACGATCACGCCACGAGCAGAAAAGAAGCAAGTCTTCACATTTTCCTTTTGTAAACTGTCACCAGAATATCTCAGCACACGACAGGAGGCTTAAACCCCGCTGACGAGCCACACATCACTCTGTCTGTCTGTGTGTGTGTGTGTGTGTGTGTGTGTGTGTGTGTGTGTGTGTGTGTGTGTGTGTGTGTGTGTGTGTGTGTGTGTGTGTGTGTGTTGCAGCGGTTCCTGCCTGCAGTGAGAAAATCATCCCGGATGCCGGAGGCACACGGAACGGTTGACGCTGGTTTAACCTTCGCTTCTGCTCCAAACTTGCTGGTAATTAAACTGCGTGTGTGTAAAATTGCCAGCCGGGACAGAAACACGCAGAGCATTGTGAAAAGATCAGAGGCGTGGACTGCGAGGCGAGATTAATGTCTCAGCGAGCTGGGCTGATGGTAAAGTCAGAGGTTTCTGCGTGGCCAAAGTGGCTCTTTTCACCGTGGGAGCTGACACGTAATCCGGTGGAAGCGCCCCGTTTTTACGGCTGCTTTCATTTACAGACTGTTAAGAGTGGCGTGGATTCTCTGCCGGGAACGCACCACTGAGCGCAAACTGTGCGTCACATTATCCCGGAATGTGCATGTTATCAAACCTTAATGCTAAACGAGAGCTACTAGAACACAGAGCAGTCAGTGCAGGTCCACACCGGGCCACGGAGAGCGTTAGTGTTTAAATCACCTGACAAATCCGCAGCAGCACCGACATGTGTGCGCGGAATCCCCACGTGGAATTTATTTATCTGTTACGTGTAAAGATGACGCACTTTATTGGTACATTTCATCGTCATCGGCGGCCCTCACAGGGATCACTGCTAACCCGGAGACCCGAGGCACAAAGCTGACGGCCGTCATGTCCCGCAGTCGGTCTGTGTGGAACCTCGTGGTTCTGCGTGGAACCTCGTGGTTCTGTGCTCCTCTGGGCTGAAAAGGCTCCACGGCCTCGGGCAAAGTTCCCACCACACAACCTCATAAATGTTTTGCTTGAGCGGAGCGTAAAGCGAGGCTGCTTTAGACCGCTTGTTTTTATAGAACGCGTCTGTTTGACAGGCAACACGTTTCAATTTTAACAGCTTCAAATACCGGAAACTTTAAAAAATTATTATTTTATGTATTACTGTGGGGTCTAGCTTCCAATACAAAGCGCCTGCAGACATCGTGTAACTTTATTTAAATAAATTTATTTATTTAAATAAATAAATTTATTTAAATAAATACATTTATTTATTTATAAATAAATAAATTTATTTATTTATTTATTTATTTACAAAATTAATTCATGAATTTTTAGGCTAATAGTAAGGCTAACACAAAGATCGTTTTATTGTTTTGATAGCATCGGTGTAACTTTGGGGGGTCAAGATCTCTGTCTAAATAAATAAATAATCTGGGTAAATTCCCAGATGATTAAACATGCAACTATTTTGCTGGTAATACCTGAAATGAGTAAAGAAAATCAACAGCCTATTTATGCAAGATAATTCATAATTTTATTGGGGGGGTTATATTGGTTGGGTCTGATTATTGGGGGGGGGGGGGGGGGGGTCATAACCCCCCTAACCCCCTGGAATCACGCCCCTGCCTGGAGGCTGGCTGTTGTGATTTGGAGCCGTTTGGAGCTTCTTCCTGCTGGGTCTGTTGACGCCCCACACATGATGTTTTCCTTACTTCAGCTGGTCCGAGGATTTAAACCAGGATTAGAATCAGGATCATATTAGGGGCATATTCTATATGTTGACACGCTCACTTGCTTTTCGTGAATTTACAGTGAAATATTATTTCAATAACTGAGTGTGAAACACCCAAAAGAAAAAGCCTTCAAACTTTTGGCCTAACAAAGGAAACCGAGCACGAGCTCATTTGAACCTGCATGTTCATGTTTATCTTTCATCCAGCGTGGTTCCTGCTGCCAGCAGCTCTGCGGTGGACAGAGTGGTGGACAGTGTGGACAGAGTGCTCTGTATGGGTGTCTCCTGGTCTGCAGTCTTGGCTCAGACCCGCCCACCGTCACCTGCTTCACTCAGCACTGCTGCAGCCTCCATGTTTTATTCCAGCACGAGGTCAGTTCATGTTTTTCTGTGGTGTCACTGACTGAACCTAAATAGACTTTTACACAGTGTATGCATGGTGTTCACAGCACATCAGACATGACTGAGCTGTAAACAATCACTGAGGGGGCGGTCGTGGCTCAAGAGTTGGGAGTTCGCCTTGTAATCGGAAGGTTGCCGGTTCGAGCCCCAGCTTGGACAGTCTCGGTCGTTGTGTCCTTGGGCAAGACACTTCACCCGTTGCCTACTGGTGGTGGTCAGAGGGCCCGGTGGCGCCAGTGTCCGGCAGCCTCGCCTCTGTCAGTGCGCCCCAGGGTGGCTGTGGCTACAATGTAGCTTGCCATCACCAGTGTGTGAATGTGTGTGTGAATGGGTGGATGACTGGATATGTAAAGCGCTTTGGGGTCCTTAGGGACTAGTAAAGCGCTATATAAATACAGGCCATTTACCATTTACTGAGAACGAAAACTCCAAATAAACAAGTGAATGAAATGAAAAACGCACAATTACAATTTGAAGCCACACAAAACACTTTATTCAAAACCAAATGTAAATTCTTTAATGATTGGCGGCACAGTGCTGCTCACGGGGTTCATACACATCCACACAAAGGCCACAGACACAGCAGCGTTAGGCTCAGGGCCTCTGAAGCATGCAGCGGTGAGGGAGGAGGAAGCTTTGTTCACACACCTGAACTCAAAGCACTTCATCCAAACAAACACTTTGTTTCCACATCTGATCCAAAACGATTTGCACATTTTCTGCCCTTCACAGAAATCTCTCACCCACACTGGCTGCTGCTCCAACACGAGGCCACAGAAGGTTTGTCACACTGCGTTTCCACATCCACACAGGCACGGAGTCAGGGAAATGTATGATCCTGTTGTTGAGCTGAAGCTCCACAGCGTGCTCACATTTAACACAGCTTGTGTTACTGTCAGCCCACAACCTCCCAAACACGACAGCAACCTGTTTGTGTTCGGTGATGTGCTTTGGTATAATCTGTACGATGTTCTCTACAATTCAGGCACAGAGCTACATTTCACAGCTACACAGCTGCTGTTCGAACGTGTGCCGCCATGCTTATATATCTGACACCACACACAAAGATCCAGCCAATCAAGAACGGCGCAGCAGCAGACTCTTGTTGGATGTTACCAATTGAAAGTTAAATGAATGAGAATGAGGCGGTCCTTGGCACCGGTGCACCACAGTGAGCACAGCCACAGTGCGTGAGAAAGAAACGACGTCACTTCCGAGGTCAGCAAAGCGGTGACTGACAGACGTCGCCGACGTGACACAGAGGTACTTCCTCAGCCCAGGGACAGATCCGAATGTGAGACCTCGCTGTTGACCTGTGCAGCGATGCTGGCAGGCGTTACGTTCAGGTGAACATCATACTGCTGGTCCAGACCCAGGTAGCTGTCACTCATCAGGTACAGCGTGTAAATACACCTGAGAGGAGGAAAAACAGGCCTGAAAATCACCTGAGACAGCGACAGAGTGGAAACTGTGTTCACGTTCATTTCTTTGCTTCTACATAAACTTTTAAAAAGATAATGAGGAGAAGCTGAGACACTGCGCAGGCCAGTGATCTGGCACAGAGGAGCCGATCAGCAGTGAGCTGCTGGACTCACGCAACAGTGTAATTTCCATTTTACCACCACTAATCCCTCCACAGTCCACGCTGCGCCCGAGGACTGATCGGCATGACTGTTGCATCGCATCGACAGCCTGCAGCCTCGTAACGTGCTACATAAATGTCACAGTATTTCACGTTCTGCCTACAGACCAGTGCGCTCAGTGTGTGGGAGACCAGACTTACTTTCCGGTCCTCTCCGGGGTGTAGAAGGCCATGGACACGGCCGTGTGGTTACGCACGTATCCCAGCCGTTTCACAGCCAGCAGCTCCCTGCGATCCACCTCCCCCAGCACGAGGAACCAGCCCTCATCCTTGGCCTTGGGGAACCTGGGAGCTTGGGCCTTGCTGTCCTGCCTCCTCTGGAACAACACACATCGTGACATTCACAGCAACATCTGTGCACACTCTGAAGTTTGGGGAGTTTCACATGTTGGATGTCATTATTAAAACAGGGCTGCCTTAACGTGGCAGGTAGGAAACACTGCATGACCTCACGTCTAGCATGCACCACCAGTTTAATTCAGTTTGATTTATAAAGCATCCAATCAGACTCTATGCTTCACTTCCTGTGGAGAGCAGAGTCACTGTGTGGGCTGGTTTCTTCAGCCTCATTGAGCAGTGCTGGTATATTTCTATGCTTGACTGGATTTTATATTGTTCTTGTGTTTTGTGGCATTAACCTCCAGAACACGCTGAGACGACATGTTTCTGGTGTCAGAGTTCGGAGAGGAAACTTTGTGTTTCTCCTAACGTCTCCTCGACGGAGGGGTCCGCCCAGCCCCGCTGTAACGTCTGAGGTGTGAGCGTGACGACAGGTGAGGCTGACAACATGCATCTCACTTCATTACTCACGAGCTACACATTCAATATGTGACTGTTGAAAGTCAGACTGTCATCACTCTGTGCAGGCCGAGTTTGCTGCTCTCTGCAGGCTTGTACTGAGCACTACATGAACTATTAGCTAAAGCTCGTCCCAGCAGCCTCTGGGGTCAGCGTCTGCTCAGCTGCTAAATAAGCCACTGTGTTCAAACTGGGAGCAGCCGCCTGTAAGAGAATATTGTGGATACTGACCCTCTGCTGTCCCAGATTGAGGCGTCTCAGTGACACCTGCAGAACATACTCCTGGTCAGCGTGGACGTCGAGCCAGCTGCTCTCCTTCCTGAGGTTAGCTCCTGCTGCAGGGATGGGACGCTCCGTCTGCTCCTGGCTCTCCTCCCACCAGCCCTTCATGCTCATCTCAACTTCCAGCACTGGGAGATGGCTCAGGAACGACCACGCCTGAGGAACGTTGGATTTACCATGAACACAAGCTGTTTGTGTAACACACAGGGCATCCTGAATCTGCAGCACTTTATCAGAGCTAACGGACACACGATCACACACACTCATTGTGACACAGCTGTGTTCGAACCTCATTGGAAGAGCTGGTAAGAAGAAGCTTGACAGGCTGTACAGTGGAGTCACATGTTAGCCAGCAGTGGAAATGATTGGATGTTATCTACACTGATATATGTTTTAGCGGACAGGAAATCACCTGTTGTTTGCAGCATGAGTCCAGTCAAAGCTGCAGACGTGTGAAAGCGAAGCTTAGAAATAAAATGGCGAGTTGTGACGCCGAGGCTGCGGCGGGCCTCGTTAGCTGCTTGCAGGACAGCTGCTTCAACCCAAAGAAGCTGCCAGGAGGGAGGCAGAGGACAAACGCAGACAGAGGGATGAAAACAAAGCAGAGCTAGGAGGCTGTGCGGCCGTCTGACTGGGGGGGCACGGAGGGGAAAAGCTATTTATGTGAGGATTACTCTTCCTGAGACAGTCAGACAGGAACGCTGCTGCACATCTAATTATTTAATTAGAGAGGCCGCCACACTGCAGGCCGGCGGGGAGCTGGGGGTAAACGTGGCGAGGGTGGGGGCAGCAGAGACGGCGATTGGGTGAAGCTGCAGGGCCTGCTGCCGTGCCCGGACACTCTCATTACCGCTGCAATTAGCACTTAAACTGGAGCTGTGATCGGGGATCCTGGCGTATCGCTGTGACACTGCTGTGTGTGATCTGCATGGACCACGCGGGGCAGAGCCATGCTTAGATTGTTCCATCATCTCTGCAGCAAATCCAGACTGGCTGCTTCCATTTGCACATTTAGACGAATCATTTCTGCAGCCTTACCTGAGCAGTCTGACTCGGATGAAGCTGTCGGGCCACCATAGCAGAGAAGACGCTTTCATTTCCATTACAGGCAGCGATCAGCTCAGGAAGTCCTTCGATCGGCTCGTTCAAACCTCCCTGCCCCTTCCTGTTTCCCCTGTTCCTAAAACAGGAGGCATCAGAGACAAGGTTGGCTCTTACCATTAAAAGGACACAAGTGTCCAAATGCAGGCTGCGTGTTTGTACCTGAGTGACTGCACAGTGTTACTGAGACTTACACCTGAAGGTGGGAACAGCTTCACCCCCTCCGCCTCGCCCTATCCCCAGCATCCGCCTTCACCCCGTCCACGGAGCTTCTCTGTGCTCTTCCTCTTTCCCTCCTGCCTGCAAGCTCCACCTTCAACATCCTTTGTCCAATATGTCCACTACCCCGTCCCTGCACAGGTCCAAGCCTGGCCTCTCTGACTCTGTCCCTAAACTCGACCTAATCTTCACTCTCAGCTTCTAACTGTGAAACAACACTGAATCCTTAACTATACTCATAGTCACACATTAGGATGATTAAAGGCTTTTTTACTTGAGATGAAGGATTCGTTCCCAAAATACCGAAGCAGGACACGCTGCACAGCGAGCAGAACGACGATTTACCTGAACAGGCCGAGGTGTTGCTGTTCTACGTGTGGGAGCGTCAGTAAGGAGGAGTCGTGCAGCCAGCGGCCCTGGACGATCATTTGCACAAGATTGCAGATGCTGATGGCTGTGACGAGCCAGCCTTCATTGGCAGCTACATCCAGCATTGCCTGAAGCAAACACAGAAGACAGTTCCTGGCACATAAACACAGTCGTGAAGCCGTCAGCCAGCAGAGCTATGTGACACAACAAATGACTACAGGACATGTTTGAAATGTTTCAATGGTTTTAATGTCTCGGCTTGCAGCTGGTGTGACAGTGGAACAGAATCTAAACACACTCAGCCGCGTTTCCTGACGTCTTCGGCAGCTCCCTTCACTCTGTGGTTGGCTTTAAGGTGGCTGAACACAAACGTTATTAATCTTCATTTGCAAAGTCACACTTTGAGTACAAAGTCCACAGAGTGGGCTTCACAGATTGATCGAGCACCTTAATAGCAGACTGTGGCCAAAGTCCGAGCAGGGCTTCACCCAACATCACCAGCTGATCAGAGGCCCTGTGGGCACTCGGTTAGAGGAGCCTGATCAGAGTCCACGTGGAGTCTGGGTCCAGGTCTGGCTTCACCGAGGAGACCAGCGAGGTACTCGGGTGCTGCTAACAGCACGTGTCCGCTTCAGTGTATCAGCTTGTAATGAGGTTACATGCACTGCATTAATGGACGGTGTTAGCCATGGCAGCCCACAGACCCACCTCCACCCAACTCTGTTGTCCTAACATAACGCAGACGCTTCAGCTCACAGGACTCTGTGTCACACTCAGAGTGGATCACTGTGGGAAGCGTCCACTCAACTGAGGGTGGATCATTCAGACTCACAAATAAATATGCAAGTCTGTCTTTCCATTCGACATATTCACGTTATGTGTCAATAAGCATCAATAAAAATATACATTCACACAATAAAAAGCCTCATAAAGGAGCTGGAGATGAGAAGAATGTCAGGACAGCAAAGCAGTGAGCACATCCACGAGCTGCACTAACACACCGTGGAAAATCACAAGCACATGCACACAAACATCCAGCGGAGCTGTGGACAATGGCTTCCAGCCGCCACTTCACTCCAAACAGATGCACTGAGGAGCTCAATAAACACCACTGGCTTCATTGTTGTCAGCGTTACCGACTCTATTAGGTTTCTAATGTTAAAGACTGTCAGCTGATCTCTGCAGACGCCACACAGCGAGGGTCCAGCCACACAGCTAACGTCTGACAGTGTTGGGGAGTAACGGAGTACATGTACCGCCGTTACGTATTTAAAATACAAAATATGAGTAACTGTATTCCGTTACAGTTACCGTTTAAAAAGGTGGTATTCAGAATACAGTTACTTTGTTGAAATAAATGGATTACACTGCGGTACTTTCCTATTTCATATTGTGGCGGGTCAGGACTGTTTGGGTTTTGTTTGACATGTTCTGTTGTTCAAGGCAGCGTTACGGTTGCCATGGTTACAGGGGGATGCTCTCTCTCTCTGTGTTTCCTGGGTGAGAGAGCGCCTTTTTGTTGTTGTTGTTGTTGTTGTTGTGCTAAGCTAACAGGCAGAGTGTTACAGGCATCGCCCTAAAGCATGTAGCCTGATGGGCAGTGTAGTCCGTGCTGCAGGGAGAATGGACTGCCATACCCGCTATGTGTCTGTGAGCGAGGGAGGGAGAAAAAGGAAAAGTAGGAGCTGTCACCGAGCAGAAACGGGAGCTGGAAGCATGTAAATATAATAATAACCACTGCAGCCAAGAAGAGAGCCTGACGAGCCCAGCTGTAAGTAAGCTGTTAAGACTCGACTGTACGCTGTGTTCGTGTTTTCCTCCGAAACAATAAGTTCTGTTGCAGCAGCCTTTCAACGCCTCTCTCTGTCTCTCGCTAGCAAAGTGACCCAGACAACAAAGTAAAGCTAGTTTTCAGCTACGAGCCGACACGAACCCGACGTATTAGCCAGAGGTCCCTTTACTACAGTTCGGAGCCGCGGACCTTCAGTAACAGTAATAAATCACATTCACGTTGCTGTAAACAGCATGATAATATATTAAGTAATCCAAAGTATTCAGAATACTTTACTCTCATTGAATAACGTTACAAAATACATTTTGGGGCATGTAATCTGTAATGGGATACATTTTAAAAGTAACCTTCCCAACACTGCTGACCGTCGGGTTATTGATGAGATGGATCGGCTACAAATCACATGCTAATATTTCACATTCCCCTTATGCTAAACATTATCTACAGCACTGAGCCCCCATCAACACGTGAGCACCGTGCATGTGCAGCACATCACTCAACACCAATATAAGCTACCACCATTTGGCTGTAGGTGTGGGTTAGCATTGTGTTAGCACTGTGTTAGCACTGTGTTAGCACTGTGTTAGCTCAACTCCTGCTTTTATCAGCTGGAAGGGATTATTTCCACACTAAATGAAATCTTCCACATTCTTCAACATAAAGATGTAAGAGGGGTGCTAACACCTGTAGCCTGCTTACACACAGACAGACACGGTGCTTTTACATATTTGTAGAAGTAAACTTTGTATATTCCAAAGAAACATTGATACAGTTGATAATGTGTCGTCACTGCTAGAATAAATAATAATAATCAAATGCATATATTTATCAGCTCGTCTGATGAAAATGAATGAATGGATGTGTGTAGCAAATATAAGATCAGCCGTGTGTTTGCCCATCAGGGCTGTGGACGGTCACATACACCACAGACATGTCTGAGTACAACCTCCCTGCAGCAGCTACTGCAGAGCAACAAGTGACTGTTCAGTGACAGCAGACATGGTTCACCACTGCAGTTCATTTCAGTGTGTTGTAGACTTCAGCTAACCTGCCCGTGTAGCTGTTAGAGCTACAGGAGTATATCACACACACAGTTATCTTACTGCCCTCAGTACCAGGCTGTGGTTTAGTGCAGAGAGCACAGCAGGTGTACTCGTGAGGTGCAGGAGGAATCACAAACTGTGCTGCACAGATCATTTAGAGCACAGCAAAAATCCCTTTTTCTACAAGTACTGCATGAACACAGAGTAACAGCTAAAGTGAAAAACACGAAGGAAGCTCTGTGTCAGCTGCTGAGTGTCGGCTACCTGACAGATGCGGATGGCGTTGTCCAGCACAGTTTTGGTGTCGGTGGTGTAGTCGCTGCAAGGCAGCTGGGCGTGGCCGAAGTGGGCCTGCAGCAGCAGGTGGGTCTTGGTGTGTGCGCTATCATAGGAGTGGGGGTTGACCTGCAAGGGGAGCTGCTGAGCCAGCTGGCTGTTCAGCTGGTCCTCGTTGTGTCTGACGGGCAGCTCGGCATACTCTTCTGCATCCTGAAGGAGATCAAAAGTGAAACAAGAAGTGCAAAGCATGCTGTGGTCACACCGTTTAAATCAGAGCATGTGTGCTAAAAGCATGTAGCTGCCCACACTTGTGTTTTCCACCCAGCACACAAACCCAGATTTGGCACCACGGTTCAGATTCTTTCTCCACTAAATTCTCTCTACATTTCTTCAAAGTGCTAAATGCTAATAAATACTGAGGCTGCTGGGAAGGTATCAGTGTTCATGTTGCATCTGTGGCTGTGTGTTCAGCACGGTTTGTACTTGAGGCACAGTCAGATGCATGGACACGCATGGCTGCTCTCCCCTAATTTACTCCAGTTCAACTTTGGCTAATGTAGTCCCATCAGCAGGCTCCGCTGGAGGCATCTGCCAGAGCCTCCCAGCCTGGACCGTTTAGCCTCCATCCATCACTGCTGAAGCTAGCATCTCTAAAGCTACGGCTGGAGCAGGGTGGGGTGAGGGGCTGGAGCAGGGTGAGGGGCTGGAGCAGGGTGGGGTGAGGGGCCGGAGCTACAATGATTCCTAAATGATTTATCTTTGAGGGCCATCATGTGTGCATATCAGTGTGATGGAGGAAGGCAGCACGGAGCTCCACAGACAGAGGAGGGAGCTTTAAAGAGCTAATGCAGGAGGAACACACACACACACACACACACACGCGCACACACACACACACCTCGTCTACAGATCTCAGTCTGATTCATAACTAAAGGCTATGAGGACACGTCCGTGTAAAGCCTGGACTGAGTTCTTATTGGCTGATTCCAGGTCAGCTCCGTGGCTGTGCTGAGACAGCTTCTGTGATTTCCCCTCAGACTGAAGCAAACATGAACTTCTGTTTCAAGCAGAGCAACATGTCACATGGTGGCTAATCGCTGCTAATGCTGCTTCATCAGGAGGTCACAGAGCAGCAGAGGAGGCTTTGTTGGCTGCTTGTCCTAATGTCATGTTGCAGGCAGAGTCCAAACTCAGGCTGTTGGCTTTGAGTTCAGTTAAAAGGAAAAGACGGGTTTGCTCCAGCGTGGATCTTATTCTGATCGCTGTGTTTAACAGTAACTGGTGTGAGCCTGGAAACAAGCAGACAGCTTTTCACATTTTCTGCATCGGTTTGTTTTGATCGTCAGTTTGTATTTGATCACATCTGTAAAACCAGCAGCTGTATGATGAACAGTGAGAACATTATCAGGCAGCTGATGCACAGAAACATAAATGAAGAAACAACAGAGTACAGACTGGGGCAAACACGAACTTATTGCGTACGTGCAGCGAGGTCTGTGATCCCGCGCTGCAAACGTTCTGCTAACTCGAGGATTTGTTTGCAGCCTTGCATGTTTTTGTGAGCTGTCAGATTTCACTTTTCACTGACTCAGCAGCAAAGCAGAGCCTTCGAAAGTCGCAATGAGACAGGACTGTGTTTGTGTCCTGTGACGCAGGAGCCAAACCTGAGACAGAAGAAGGTTCAGTCTGTGTGGAGCATGTTTATCAGATGGGGCGGGGCCATGTGGAGGTGTGAGTGCAGGTCATTACTGTGCAGGTGAAGCAGCATGTCTGGGCCTGAGAGCACGAGTGCATACTGCAGCTTGTTGGGGAGGAAGGCAGCCACTTCAGCCCAGCATGCTTTGGTCCAACTCCAGACGAGGACACAAGAAGGTCCTGCTGTGGGACTGCAGCTCCTGCCTGGGGTCATGGCAGCTGTTCTGGGGTCTTTACACAAATCTCTCACTAGTTTTGTTTCTACAGTCTTTGAAATCTTTGTCTTCTACCTCTGCCAGAGTTGATGGCAGCTCTCAGTCTCAGTCTTGAGACCTTTGTATGTCTACATACAGAGTTAGAACGTTTTCTCACAGCTGTGCTGATGGTTGAACTGGCAGATAACCCTGTGCCTTCACCTGGTTTATATGGTGGTTTGTGCTCAATGAGCAGGTGAATCCTGGGCAGGTGGAGACAGCTGATGTGCTGTTCAAACAGCAGAATCACACTAACAGCTTATTTTTCAGCAGTAACATAAACAGAGACAGATGACAGCGTGAGACGATCCAGTCACCCAGGAGTCACTCTTCAGTGAAAGCTGCGTGCAGGGATGACCTGGCTGCAGATGAAACTCACCGTGAGCACAGAGAGCAGCTCGTGTATGGGTAGCTCCGCCCTGAGGCGCTCCTTGAACGTGCGGATGGTCTGGTGCTTCAGGTAGTAATAGGAGGCAATGCGACCGTAGGTAAGAGGCTCCGTCGACTGATCGTCCTGAGGAGGCGATGCAAGGAAACCTTTGAACACATCTGTGACACCGTGCAGAGAACATGCTTGAAAACATCACACACCTCTTTAATTTCAATGCAGTAGGAGCCCTCGAGGTCACGCAGGCTTCTCTCCACCAGGTTGGACAGATACCTGTTAATAGACTCGTGGCTGATGTCCTCTAGGCTGTAATAACTGAACAACAGAGAGCACACAGTGGAAACAATCACACGGGGCTCAGAGCAGGACTGAGGGGTCCTTCCCTCCTCAGCTCATCTCTGAGGTGAAACAGCTGTTTTATAATCAATAAACGATGCATGATCATTGATATCTGTGTTAACAGCTCCACATGTTATCACCGATGTTCATTTGATACCAACCAGACTAACTTGCATAATGAATGTATTTGGTGCTGATGTGTAGGACATGCACTGAACAGTGCTGTGGTCTCCCATTGGTGTGACATCATGTACGCTCCTCCACCTGTGCTGCAGGTGGAGGAGCGTACATGCAAAACAGGCCAAACCTCCACATCACTGCTGGTGTAGGAGCAGACATTAACACAGGAAGCAAACAGCCGCCAGCTACTCAGCAGTTCAACTGTCAAGAGCACAGCACGGAGAACGTCTGCCTTCAAAATAAAAGCTGCACATTTAAAAAGCACAACGTCTCCTCTGAAGGTGAAGGTGCTCTCCTGTCTGCAGACCCTCTGTGACTCTGGGTCAGAGCTACTGAACTGCAACACCTGAGACAGCTGAAAGACGTCCTTGAAGCTTGTTTGATGGTTCTGCTTCCACACAAACATGCTGACGTGTGAAACCATCACAGGCCTGAGCAGCTTATGGCCCACTGTGCAGAGATATGTAGCGCTTGCTGTGAAATATTAGCTTCAAATTTTCAAACTGTTGTCAAACTACTTCACCATGTTTAATGTTTAAAAACATGAATACATCCAAAAATATTAAAAGAAGAAAGCCTCACATTTGCACTGGCCTCATCACCATGACAATGAATTAGGATCAGCCAATCAGCACGCTGACTGCTGCAATCATCTCACACGCTGTAACCTTGCTCTTCTACACAGCTGGCTGAACCACCAATCACAGCACAGGAAGGCAGGCCGAGTGTGACGCTGTCAGCTGGTGACAGTAAACAGCTACAACATCACAGACGACGGCCTGCAAAGCTGTCAGCAGGTATTAGCACACGCTGGCACGTCTTTCTGTGACGGCGAGTACAGACGCAGTCAGCTGCTCAGCCTTCAGTACAGGAGGTCAGGATCTATGAGCTGCAAGACATCAGCAGTTCTCAGCAAACACACCAGCCTGTGAGGGCACACGCTGTAGTGTGGGCTCTACAGAGTCGCGATTCAACAAACTGGCTAATGCTGGGAACATGTAAACACTAATAACATCCATGTTAGCGTGTGCAGGACATGATGATGGTGGAACAGCATTAGCATCCAGTAAACACAGAGTAGCAAAGCTGGCTGTTCTCCTGGCTCCTGCAGGAAAACCACTCTCTTATTAGCATGCTCAGAGATGCTAACAGTTAGCACCTGAGCGTCAGCAGAAGCACAATCAAAGACAACTTCCATTAGCTCACAAAGCCAATATTTGTGCCTGTACTGCTGGGAAACTACAGCACATGTGGCTTTTTCCATGCTGAAGGAAACATTTTAAGATCCGAGGCAACAAAATCTGTGTGAATGTATCAACAACATCGTGGTAAGACTGGAAAACAGGGTCATTACTGATGGGCAGTTGTGCTAATTAGTGCCATCTGGTTCTCTATAGTCAGTTACAAACCACGTTTCATGGTTTCTGAAGCTGATAAGACGAAATGATGAATTGTAACTGTAAGATAGTTTTTATAAACTCGTATTGATGCTTTTGTTTTAAAATCCTCGAAAACTGACAAAAAATACAAGATTTCAATGTCAGATATGTGTGCATGTCTCAAACTGAGTCACTGACTCTTCTCAGTTATTATCAAAGGCCTACAAGCAGAAAACAGTCCTACAGTTTAATAATGAATCCTACAGTCCTGCTCTGGGCTCAAGTTCAGTCTCTTACTTTGGGAAACAGTTTTGTTCCTGTGGTGTCGTCATGTCAGTGAGAGCGAATGCCATGATAGTCACCGAGTCCTGGATGTGAGGACGGGCAGAGGAGGGCAGCCAAAGCGGTTTGTTCCAGACAGGTGATGAACTGTAGATAAAAGGTGGACGGACTTTTGAGGTGGAGCGCCTTACACCTGCATCCTCTCTGACGGGTGATGGGGTGACTCCTCGTGTGGAAAGGCAGCTCTGCTCACCTCTGACTTTATTAAACACTTACGGTTTCACAGGGATCCAGTTTTAAATCAGGCTGTACTGTGATAATATTCACATGCCCTCCTCCTACTACTATTATTATTTGTCTGGTGTAAAGCAGCAACACTGAGGCAGCAGCACTTCCCTCACAAACTCTCTGTTTGCACTAAGAACGAGATAAACACGGATCATCAGAACTGTGTGATGCAAACGCTGTCTGAGGTGGAGGAAGACGTGCATGTAAACCATGTAACAAATGATGTCATTATGATTATCATACCAAACCTTTCATAGCGCACTAACACGGAGGTGACATCACAGCTGAAGGAGTAGAAGCAGCCGTGGAGACATTGGATGGCCTCATTTATGGGCGTGTTACTGTCACACACTGTGTGTGGGCGTGTGTTACTGTCACAGCTCCACATGTTAGCAGCACAGACACATGAGCACCGAGCGTGTTTGTGACCAAACACATTTCAGAGGCAGGGCCTGTTTGAAAGCCACGCCATCAGGCTCAGCGCCACGAAGCTGCTGATGGCACAGCGAGGCAGCCGTGAATGTAGTTAGGGAGCACTTAGGCAAAAGTGCTTGTGTGAATGTGCTTTGAGTGCTCAGATGAGTAGAAAAGCGCGATGCAAGAACCAGTTCATTTACCAGTCCAGTGTCTGTATACAGCCAACACGGAGCTGTCAGGCAAACAAAACTATAATAGTTTACTATGAACACTATTTAGAAACCCAGCAGGCTGCTTTGTAACTGTAATGCTGTTTATAACATTGATGATCAAACCACTCCTTCATCTTTCAGTGAGAAACTGAAGTCAGCAGGGCTGCAGTGAGGGACGCACACAGACGCAGCTGTGTGCCCACAGTTTGCAGCAGATGACAACAAATGAATGCAGCGACGCTCCAAAGCCTCTCTGAAATGTGAACACTGACCCAAAATCCCAGTTTGAATCCAGATATCATCTGGACTCACAGGCCTGCAGGGTTACAGTGCCACTGCTGGGCCTCCGTCAGTGGTAAATGTGGGATGACAGGCGTGCAATTACCAACAGGCTGGAATGTTCTGGAGTGGGCTCTGTCTACATAGCAGATGTTTGGCTGAACAACACATCACAGCAATAACCAGGCTGTGTCTACACTATGCACAGGTGTGTGTGTGTGTGCTGGGTTAACCTGGGATTCATCATCAGCCGTCTGAAGAAGTAGGTCCAGGTGATGTAGTCCATGGCGTCCTGCTTGGATGAGATGGTTCCTGCAGCAATCTCAGCATTCAGATGATCAGAGAGCACGCCGAGGAGGCTGAGGATACGACACGACACATCAGCTGGTTGACTTATCACTGTAGGCCTTTCTAAACAGCAGCATGCTGGCAGAGGGTAACGATGGTGCTGTAAAGCCAGCACCTAAAAGCATGTAAATACAATTTTGCATCACTTGCAGTGGTTTCCAGGACAGCGGTGACCACATGTTGCAGCAGAGATTTGCACACAAACTACTGCAGCCCGACACTGAACAGGAAACAAACCCTGGGCTCTGATCCATGGATGCCCCACCAGTGTCATCGCGGTGGCTCTACAGTGACAGTTCAGTCCAAAGACTTCAGTCACACTACAAAGAACATGAATCATATCTGATACCAAGCCTGTTGCTGATGTTAGAGATAAACTGTCTGCTTTGTTTACATACTACCTGTGCTAACACGTGAATGCTATTGCTAACAGGGAGAAGACTATAATGACAGTGTATAAGGTCACCAGTTTATCTTTATTAACGACACTGCTGATGTTGCATTCATGCGTGATTACAGTGAACATGAGCTGATAGTAACGACTTCATTCAACATGTCTGTGTAAAACAAACCTCTGCATTTGGATAGTGAAAGCATCTTTTTTTCTGTTTCCTCTGAAAGATTCCCAGAGTCTTTCTAGCTTCCTGTCAGATTTCCCACTCTGACCAGAACGCACACATGTCACAAAGTATGACCGCTGTCCAAAACCTGCATTTAAAAAACGTGCTCCCTCTGTTCACTGCAACAACTGTAGTGGCTCCAGTCTGCAGCACGTCCACTTTGATATAAAACATTTCAGCGACACTGAAAAAATGAGCTGTTTTCTTGAAATATTACTCACATTAATTACACTGAA